GGACACAGGGTGTCAGCAAGTAAAATTTGACGTGTCCCTGCAGCCCCTGAGATCTGGGCCTGGGTTTCAGCAGCAAAACCCTTCCAGTGGTCTGGTTGTGGAAGGGAGGTGGTGCTAGGGAGGGGTGGGTACAAGGTGGGAGTGAGTCGTCTGACCAGGAAGCCCAGAGGACTTGGCTCTGGGGTCCCCTCCAGTCCCTGCTCCAGTGGGGCAGGCTGTCACCTCCAGGGTGTGCTGTGTGTGCCCTGACCCTTGATGTCCAGGTGGATCCCGTTTTCCTCAGGGCCTGGACAGATCAGGGTGTGACTAGTATGGGATCTCTAGCCTGACCAGTCACCCTTTCACTCTGCACCGTTTGCTGAGGGCTTGCTCTGTGCCCAGCCCCCAGGCTGCCCGGAAGACGGATGTGGCTCTGTTGCCTATTAGACACACTCCTGGTCCCAATTGTAACATGACCGGGAAGACCAGGGGCAGAATCCATGAACAAGTGGACCTGGGGCTTGAACTGGGGGCAAAAATCAGGCAGGTGGCCCCAGGCAGTGTTCTCGGCAGTACCTGCCCCTTTGACACCCCAACTGGGACTCATGTTCTGCCACGTCCCACTGAGGAGGCACTAGCATCTCATGTAAGGACCATTTATGTGGCATTTACTGTGTACACTGTTGTCATGCCATTTTACAGACAGCAAAACTGAGATCCAGAAACACGAGGCAACTTGCCCTAGGTCGTGTAGCTAGGAGAGGAGAAAGCAGACCTGGGCCGGCCCTCCTTGGCAGCTGCTCTGGCACAGGCAGCAACCTCGGCCCTGGCTCTGTGAGATGGGGCTGGCATCAGAGGGCAACTGTGTCCCAGGACCCAGCCCGACCACAGATTCCTGGTGGGGGTGCCAAGCTGCACATTCACAGGCCCTTGAAACATGTTTTCACTGCACACCTCTTTTGGGACCATGGGGCTGACTTTGAGGGCTTTTGTCCCATGACAGAGGCAGGCTTGGGTGAGTGGGGAGGGACATCTGACCCCCTTGGCAGTGCTCTGGGGTCCCTGACTTCCTGCTCGCCACCCCCCCCCCACCAGGCGGGCTGCATGCTCTTCCCCCACATCTCCCCCTGTGAGGTACGCGTGCTCATGCTCCTGTACTCGTCCAAGAAGAAGATCTTCATGGGCCTTATCCCCTATGACCAGAGCGGCTTCGTCAACGCTATCCGGCAGGTCATCACCACCCGCAAACAGGTGCGCCCTGGCCCAGGCGCTGGGCATGCCAATGAGGCTTTGAAGGGCAGGAGGGACGACTGAGGGAGGTTCCCAGGAGGAAGGACTCGCATGTAGAGCTGGGAGGCCCCGAAAGGTGACTGTGCTTCTTGGGTCATCCCTTACCAATTATTAATAGTTGTTCCCTTCTCCCCAAAGTGTCCCAGTTTGTGCAGCAAATTTTATAGCTGTCCAGTTCTTATAGGCACATCCTATGGGCTTTGTACCCCAAGCTAAGGGGCTAGGACTTGTCCTGGAGCACTTGGGAGCCTGTGAGTAGGCAAGGGGCAGGGCCAGTTCTGGGGAGCCCCTGGGGCTGTGGACAGACTGGAGGCTGAGAAGCTAGAAAGGAGGCTTGGGCAAGGGTTTGCAGGGCAAGCCCAGGCCTGGCTGGGGCTGTGGGGGCAGGTGCAGGGCAGGCTTAGGGTCGATGGGCTGGGGCACTGGTCCCAGAAGCCCCTGGGGGACTCCTGGGACACCATCCCACCTATCTCCCACAGGCAGTGGGACCTGGTGGTGTTGCGGGCCCAGTCCAGATTGTCAACAACAAGTTCCTGGCGTGGAGTGGAGTCATGGAGTGGCAGGAGGTGAGCCTTGGGGTGGCCCGGGTCACCTTGGGACTGGTGCATCTCCCACTCCTGATGTCTCCTCTCTTGCTCTCCTAAAAGCCCAGACCTGAGCCCAACAGTCGATCTAAGAGGTGGTTGCCGTCGCACGTCTATGTGAACCAAGGGGAGATCCTGTGAGTGTCGGGCTGAGGGCAGAGGCAGCGTCTCTTATGAGACCTGGCCTGCTGACCCTCGTCCCCTCATGCCTGCAGGAGGACCGAGCAGTGGCCAAGGAAGCTGTACATGCAGCTCATCCCGCAACAGCTGCTGGTGAGGGGGGCTTCCTGGAGGGACACAGGGTGGCAAGGGTGCCTCCCTGAGCATGGGACCCTGAGTTGCCAGCTGGAGGAGAGCTTTCTGGGTGGAGGGACAGTATGTGCAAAGGCCCTGTGGCTAGCGGCTGGCCTGCCCAGCAAGTGGAGGTAGGTGGGTCCCGCAGGCCAAGCTTCAAAGGGTCACAGGGCCTGTCAGAGATTTAAGCTGGGGTAAGGCCCCAGCCTAGGTGCCTGCCACCCTGCAGGGAGGGAGGAGGGGCAGGGCTGTGTGGCGGCAGACTGTCCGTGCTCCTGGGCCTCATGGATCCGCTGCCGCCGTTTTGCTGCAGACCACACTGGTGCCGCTGTTCCGGAACTCCCGCTTGGTGCAGTTTCACTTCACCAAGGACCTGGAGACACTGAAGAGCCTGTGCCGGATCATGGACAATGGTTTCGTGAGTGGGGCCGCAGGCGGGGTGACAACTAGGCAGAGCAGGGCGGAGGGGAAGGCCCCGTAGGATATAAACAGCCACATCCACTCCCTGTTGAAACACGAGATGAACCAGAGAGACACTGTCCCCAGAACTAGCTGGAGTGATGGCAGCCCAGTGATGTGTTTGTCACGTGCCTGCACACATGCTGGCTCCCAGTCCACCCAACTACAACTCCCCTGGGGCTCTGCTGTCCTGACCCTGTTTTACAGATGGGGAAACTGAGGCTCAGGCAATGCCAGCAAATGCCGGGGTGAGGACTTGAACCTGTTGCTGCTTTGGGCCTTTAGGGCCTGTCCCTCGCTGCTGCATCTGGGTTTACCCAGAGTGCCGGGGGTTACTATCTGTGCTCCCCTGTCCTTACCTGCCACCTTCCTCTTACTGCCCTTCTTGGGGACAGGGAGCTCTTGTCACTCCAGGTTTTCTAATGGAAAACCTGAGGCTCTTGAAGGCCCTTCCCCAGGCAGGGAGGCGCGTCAGCTCCCAGCCCCAGCAGGGCTGGGCCTCCATCTCCCTCACTTCTGAAACCAAAGTTGTCACTGTCCACTTTTTGCATGTCTGCTACGTAGGGGTAACATCTGTCCTCAGATTTACTATTTCTTTTAAATCAACTGAAGTAATCACAGCCATGCAGTTGTGTATTTGAGGGGCCAGTTGTATGTTTCTTTTGTTAAAGTTTAGAAGCACAGCGCTCCCTCAGGGGCATCGTAACAGCCATGTGAACCCCAGGCTGGCCCTCCTCTCTGCTCACTTGGGGCCCAGGTCAGGCAGCTCAGATGTGGCAATGGGGGTGTGTGTCCTGGGCTCTCCAGAGGGCTTCCTCTTGGATACCTGTCACCACTGTCCCCAGGTGGTGCACACAGGGCCAGCACTGCCCCTCCTGGCTCTGGGGACCTGCGAATCCTCAAGCTCTCAGCCTGGGTTGGCCCACCTGTGACATGGGGTGATGATCCCTGGGACTGGAAAGGGAGGAGCCAAGGAAGTGGATGGGGAGCACATGGTCCATTGCACCCCCAGCTGCGGCCCCGTCCCCAGCTGGGTGGAGGGGAGCAGTTAGTGCTCAGGCCCCTGGACCTCTCAGCCTGGTTGCTTCTGGGGGGCTGCACAAGGTGGGGGAACCTCAGAGCTAGTGTCTTTCCCGTAAGGCCTCTATGCATGGGTTTGGTCATGGCCGGTGGTCCTGCACACTGTGTCCGAGGCACTGTTTCAGGGGCATCCGTGTACTTGCCTGTCCCATATAGGTGGCGCTTCCATCAGCAGGCACCGACCACAGTGTCCTCGGAGCTTGTGCATCTCCTCTGTGCAGAGCCTGCTGAGCTGGGCCTCCGTGTCCCCAAGTGGGAGTCATAATAGAGCCATGGGGACAGGAGTTAGGCTGCGCAAGCTGTCAGACACTGGCCTGTGGTCTGAGCCTGCCTGTGACGCCGGCTCTGCCTGCCCACCCACCCACCAGGCTGGCTGCGTGCACTTCTCCTACAAGGCGTCGTGCGAGGTGCGTGTGCTCATGCTGCTGTACTCCTCGGAGAAGAAGATCTTCATCGGCCTCATCCCGCACGACCAGGGCAACTTTGTCAACGGTATCCGGCGCGTCATCGCCAACCAGCAGCAGGTCCTGCAGAGGAACCTGGAGCAGGAGCAGCAGCAGCGAGGGGTGAGGCAGGAGTGGCTCCCAGCACTCCTCTCACCTCCAGCCCCTCCCTCTACTGACTCTCCTCCCTGGCTTCTTCCCCCACAGATGGGGGGTTAGCGGCCACCACCAGGATGGGCCCTCTAGGAGTCACAGACGCGGCCCCCGCTGAGACTGGTGAGTGGCAGTCAGGTGGAATACAGGCTGGATGTGCTGGAAGTTTGGGGAGAAGTAGTATAACCTTGGCTTTGACAAGAGCAGAGAAGACTGAGAGGCACAGCAGTTCCCAGTGGTACCCTCCCCCCCAGGATGCAATGGGAAAGGCCCTTCCCTAGTCCCCAGGGCCCTGTAGGTACATCAGTCCAGGTAGTGGGGGCTGCCGGAACCCCCTTCCAGCCCCTCTCACTGTGTCCCCCTGCCCCAGGTCAGATGCTTCTGAGCAGGGGCCCCTGGAGACCGCAACTGCCCAGTGAGATGGAGGACAGCATCCTGAGATGTCTCGAAGGACAGTCCCCACCCATGTACGTTTTCCCAATAAAGTCTTTTAAAAGCCCACTGGCCACCGTGTCGCGTGCCTGTAGCCATGGCCTTGAGAGCCTAATCCTTATCTTTGGTAGGAGAGGCAGTTAGTCCTAAGGTGGGCCAAGTGCTTGACTCAGGGCAAAGCCCCGAACTGTGCCTTTCTCAGGAGCCCCAGCCCAGCTTGGGGACTAGTAGGATCTGCCCTCAGCTGGGTGGCCCACCCTTCTTCCCAGCAACATGCTGGCCAAGCTTAAAGAAAAATAGCATTTATTGTGGGGTGGAGGCGGGGGGGGGGAGGGGGGCAGGCAGGAGCTCAGCCCTCGGAGAACTGGCGGTACAGTCGCTCAAGTTGTGGTTCCACGTGCAGCCGGAACGGGATCTCCAGGATCTCTGAGAAGCCCTCGGCCAGCTTTGGGGTCTTGAACTGCTTCCTGGTGGCAGAAGGTAGTGAAGGGGGAGGGGAGGCCCAGCTGGGTCCGATGCCCGCCCAGGAGGTCCTACCCATGGCATAGCCTACCTGTAGCCATACATGACCACATCAGACACGGGGGCATGAGAAGAGCCTGTCATCTCCCGGAACTGTGAGGGCAGAGGGCACACTGGTCAGGCCCAGCAAGGGGGTGGGGGTGGAGGGGCAGGGCCATGCTACTCACCCGGTTGTTGTGACGCGCCTGTTCCAAGGTGGCGCTGAAGAGGAAGCAGCGACAGGGCACACCTGCATCTTGGGCGCACTTGATGTACCTGTGGGGGCCGGTAAGCGTCCAGGCTGGTCAGAGGCCCAGGGCCCATCCTACAGAGGCCTCCCACGGGACCCTGGTACCTGGCCCGGCTTGGGGGGTCCGGGTTTGTGTTGTCGATCACCACCCGTTTCTTTTGCTTTAGAGCTGTCTCACAAGTCGTCACACAGCGCTGCCATGAGCCCAGGGTGTCCTGGGGGACACAGGAGAGCAGGTCATGGGTCAGAAGGGCTGTGGACAGGGATGGGGGTGAAGGGACCCTGAGGGTCAGGGGGACAGACCTTACGAGAGGACAGAGATGCAAGCGGGAATAGATCTCACAGGAAGATGGGCAGTGACTGGGGAGGGGACAGTGACTACAGACAGGTGGGGGTACAGCCAGGGTCCTACCCTGTTCACATGGACATATCCAGCAGACACGAGATGCTCCTGGAGGAAGGTGGACTTCCCGGCTGGGGAGAGGGGGTTAGTGTCAGTGGGAGCCGGGGGTGGGAGTGGGGCACAGTTCCTAGGGGTTAGGTGTCAGGGTGTCTCACCGCCAGGATATCCCACAGCGACAACCACCTCAGAGTCAGAGCTCAACAGGGAGCTAGTCTCAGGCAGCCAGAGCGGCCCCGAGGGGGAGACGGTCCTCTGGAAGGGCAGACACACGACATGAGGAGTGAGACCCCTCTCCTCTCCCCACCAGTCCCCACACCCACTGGCGAGCCTCACCGGGTCAAAGGCTGGGAGCTCAAAGCTGGCCACTGGCCACTTCAGGAAGAACTCCTCCGGTGTGGCGAAGGGCAGGCCCAGGTTGAGGGCAAACTGGGGGTGAGGGCAGAGGTCAGACAGGGTTGGGGCTGGGCTGGGGGCGGTGGTGGAAGGGTGGGGCTCACCAGGCGGTCTGCACAGGAGAAGTCTTTCTTCTTCCTCCCTGGGGCCCAGTTAGCTGGGCGACCAGCTGCATCTGGAACATACGCAGGACACACCCTGGTCACCAGCAACCCTGAGGACCACAGTATTCCCCTCCCCCGCCATCAGCCCAAAAGAGCTACACACTCCCTGACCCTTACCTCCCACGAAGACACTGTCCCCGATGGAGATGGGCATGCCCTCGTTGGCCTGGGGATGTACAGGAGACAGACAACAGGCCCTGAGGAACCTTCTCCCATGTCTGTTAAGAGCACTGATGGCTCTGCTGAGCATGAGGCCTGATCTCTAACCTCTTGCGCTCACATCCAATCCAGCAGCAAGTCCGGTTCACACCTCTCCCTTCAACCCCCTCTGGCCTCTTCTCATCCCCTTCTCACCCACACCAGTGTTTTCCTTGGACTATTCAGTCCTTAATGGTCTCAGGGATTCTGCCCTCGTCCTATTTCCCTCATAGCCACCAGAGGGCGCTCTGTCCCACTTCTGTGAGCATATCTTTCCTGCACCCTCCTCAGGAAGAGTGAAGTCTGTACCCTGGCCAGGTGGCCCCACACAATCTGACTCCTGCTCCCTCTAACCTCCTGGCCCACCCTCACCCCCTCACTGGACTCTTCACTGACAGTCCCTAGACACTGGGACTTTTGCACTTGCTGTGACTGGCCAGGAAAGCTCTTCTGGGACCCAGATATCCACCTGCCTGCCTCCCTCACCACCATCAGCAGCTCTTCACTTCAGTGGCATCTCAGGCCTCCCCCTGATCTCGCTGTCTTGCCTCCCATGTGTCTAGTCTGCACTCTCCCCGGCACATGGGCCTGAGAGCCAGCAGGTTTGTCCTGTTCACTAATAACTTATGCTCAAGCTGTGGAACTTCAGAACAAATGCACACACGAATGGACGGATCTCAGCAATACTAGGACATGACAGCTAAAAACGGAGAAGGCGAGGACCATGACCAGGAGGGGCAGGCAGCGCAGACTCACTTGCTCCCGAAGATGGTCCCACATGCCAATCACGGGCTTCCGGTACAAGCCGGCATGCGTGGCCACCAGTACCTGTGGACAGGGCGGTGTCAGACACCATCCTTAGCTTCTTGAGCACCCAGCGCCCTTCAAGGGCATATGGGACCCAAGGACAGTACATGAACCCTCACTGTCCAAGGTCAGCTCCCAGTGCCCCAGAACTTACTGCTTATGATGGGTTTCTGTCAGCATAATCCTATCCAGGGCCTCTCCCCCTACCCTGGGTCTGTCCCCCACTTTGGATCCCTGTCCCTTCCCATATCCCTGTCCCCCTCTCTGGCTCTCTGTCCTCCTTTCCCAAGTCCCTGTCCCCTGTCACATCGTCCTTCAGCCTCCATTGCAGCCAGCCATACCTGAAAGGGGACTCCTAGCTTTTCCACTACAGCCTCCACCTTGGCCTTAAACTCCTCTGCTGGCAGCTTTCCGCGTCCAATGCCCATCTGGTTGGTGAAGATCACCAGCTGGGGAGCAGATGGGTGTCACCCAGTGCCCTCCTCCCCATGCCCCATCCTGGACCCAAGCACACACACACAGTCACACACCTTGTAGCCCTCAGCATCCAGCTCCCGGAGTTTATGTGGAATCTCTAGGTACAAGATCCTAGGGTGGGCAGGGAAGCGGCAAGGTGACCTGGGGCCCAGAAGTGGCCTCACTCACCCTCTTCTGCCTCTTATCACCTCCAGTCACTGGGGCTGGTGGGAAAGACCTTCCCAGAGCGTGTGGTGATGAGAGTCCCATCCAGATCAAAACTGGCCACCTGGCATCATCAAGAAAAGAGGAACAGCAGCAGTGACACCTCTGATCTCATTTACAGGCTGGTTTACATCAACTCTCTGAGGCAGGGACTATGACCACCTTACAGATGGTGACACTGAGACAGCATGTACATCTTATGCAAGGTCAGGCACAGTGAGGACACACCCCCGACGCCTGAGTGCAAGGCCTGAAATCTTCCCTTTCTACTACACCCCTCAGTATTCCAATCTAAAATGGGGTTCATACCCGACCCATGCTCCTTCCCTGGACTTCTCCCCCTCGAAGGACTAATAATCATGCAAATAAAGCAGGAGCTAAGTTTTGTTGGGTGCTAACGGCACATTGGGCTCTGCCATGTTTTCCCTGGATTCCTCCTTCTACTGGTAAAAGAAGTGGGGCTCGGAGAACGTACTGTAATAGCACTTGAACTTGAGTCCGTAGACCTAAAAAACACTCATCAAATAGCTCCTGCTAAAATGGTTCCTATTGTTGCCATGGTTATAGGGTATTACCATGGATCAGGCAGGAGCTGACACATCGATTCCCCAAATGCCTACCCCTGAATTTGTCATCAGGTCCATTTCTCAGAGGAGTAAGTGCAGGCTGAGAGATTTAGTGACCTGCTCAGGGGCACACAGCAAACTTGGGGTCCCCAGCTTGTTCCTCACCTTGCCTTGGGGCTTCACCCCAGGCGCTGTGAACACCAGTAGCTTTTCAAAGCTCTCCCAACAGGGGGATGACTTCCGCATCAGCTTTTTCTGCTGCTTAACATCCTCTTCCTCCTCCTCTTCCTCCTCGTCTGGGGTCACCGGAGGGGTGCCGGGTGGAGTGTCTGGCTGGGAGTCTGGCGTGCAGGATTCTTGCCAGTGCAGGGTCAGCGGGTAGAGGCCATTGACCAAATACAGTGTGTCCCCCACCCGCAGAGAGCCCTCCAACCCCAGCTTCAGCTCCTGGGTCCCGGCAGTTGAGGGGTTAATTCCCAGCTGCGGAAGAAGAGGGAGCAGCTGGGACAAGCTCTGCCCCCCCTACCCACCAAACCTCCAATGAATCACCTCAGGAAAGGACTTGCCTTTCTCCACCTGCCAATCAGAACCCTAAGCCCCGCCTCTTCACTGTGTATCACCAATCAGAGGTTTGGAAAAGTTAGCGGTGACAGATCTTACCCAATTTAAATGTGGATGGAAGCCCCATTGAAGCAGGCAACACCTGTTTCCCTCCCAGCCAGACACTCCCAACCGGCCTGTTCCCTGCTAGGCTGCGATTCCTCCCCCACCCCAACTCCAGGCCTTGCTGAGGAACTGGTACCTGTTTCACAGCCACCGTGCGAGTCTTAGGGTCTGCGACCAGCTCCACTGAGGGTTGAGAGGGTAGAGTCAAGATTTGCATCCCTGTGTGATTGCTTTCCACATTACTGCGGAAGTGTGGCCATCTTCCGGCCACACAATGGCGTTACAGCAGCCATTCAGGGGAGGAGGCAGTTTATTTCTAAATGCTATTGACTAATTCTCTGACATGCAATCGCCAGATAAAGGCCTTAGAATTGCTTGTGACGCTGGTCCTCGCCTAGGGGCAGGGTGGGCATTTTTCTGAATAGACTGACTGCTCTTTGAGGAGTGTGGCTACTAGGTGCTGGCCCATTACCACACATCCCTGCTTAGCAACATGTATTTTTCTCCATAGGATCGGCTCTCTCCTTGACAAGGGTTGCAGCCTGACTCAAGCCTTAACGGTGGCCTGAGAGCATCCTCTGCCCAGTGACAATTGTCTCAGAATTGCTTCACTCCCCTCCCCACCAGGGATCTGCTAGTTCCGGGTCAGGAACAGTCTTTCTCTTCCGGCGCTCCCCGAAGGGCACCTGCTAACTTCAGGAATGGATGCACCACGCCATTTCGCCTGGTGGCCAAGCATGTCCCTTACTGAAATGACTGTCCCTCTTTCCCAAAGAATGTATTTCGGCTACGAAAGCACGCCACACCCCTCCAGCTCAGGCCCCGCCCCTGCCTACCTTGGTTTCTGGAGCACTTCCGGTCGGTAATCTGGGTCAGAGGTCCCCGTCCCAAGACCAGGGCTTGTCCATCCGAGGGCAGGAAGATGGGGGGCGCTCCCCCAGGGGGGCTCTCCAGCCACAGGCGGCCCGGGGCTTCCAACTCGGTCATCCTGGGCGCCCGGTTAAGGGCAAGCAAGTAAATAGGTTTGAGTGGCAGGTCGCCCTCAAATTGCTACAGGAAGTCCTGCCTCCTTTCTCCTCCTTCACCAGGAATTCTGTTCATACGCTACAGGCTCAGGAATTCCCAAGTATTCGCCTGCCAGAGATTCACGCCGTTTCCCAGGTGACGACACCCCGCTCAGTTCTCGGGGAGCCGGGACCCCTACTTCCCAGGGCAAAGGCCGAGAATCCTGCGCGCTCTAGCCTCGGACCACGCTCACCTGTGCCTGCCGCTCTGGCTCACTCGCCACTACCAACCAGGAAAATCCGGTCCGAGGCGCTCAACCCACAGGTCCACCCGCAGCTTTCTCTGTTTTTCGGCGGACGGAAATGACTCTTGCTACCGAGAGGACGGCGCGTAGCTCCGCCCACCACAGAAGCCCCGCCCCTTCTCAGAATTACGGTCTCTGTGGTCCCTCCGCTGCTCAGATCTTCATCTCTCTGGCTGCAGTATGTGGCTCAGGCCAGTAAGGGGACGGGGCTCCTGTGTTTCAGATTCTCCTTCCACTTTGAACTTTTAATTTTCATTCCGGTTGCTGGAAATAGTTACAGCGGGAGGTTCTCTTTTCCATGTGATGATAATTGTCAGTCGAAGAAACCTCCACCCGTCAGCAACCCCGTACCCTCGATGCGTTTTTCTCATCTATAAAGTGGGGATAATCATTTCCACTTCATGGGGTTACTAGGAAGATGAAAGGAGTGATTACATGTAAATCATTTATTCAAGTGTTTATTAGTTTGCCCTGTTTAAGTCTTGTCTATTGTTAGCATTCTTCCGGTGGTAGTCTGATGAGAGACAGAGTCCGTGTTTACTTGACCTTAACCTAGCCCTAATTTCGAACCAGGTGCCACTCCTTCTCTAACCTCCAGCTGTTTTATGGCAGAAAACCCCTAGCCTCAGCTTTGCTGGGTACTATGTGGGTTCAGAAGACTGACTGCTTAAAGACCATTCGGATTTCAACACCCTCCCCCTCTCCCCTGGGCGCCCCGAAGATTGAGGATTCATGGTCACACGTAACTGGAATCCTCCCTCCCACCTCATGAATCTCCATTTTCTTATCTATAAAATGGGGACAATTCCAATTCCCCAGCTTTGCACTGAGAATCAATGAGATGCTGCTTATTAGGCTTCAGAAAGTTTGTTGAATGAACATCCATAACACACATACTCATTTGACAGAGGTAACTCTTTAATCTCAGAGCGCCCCTCCCAACTCGCGATCCCCACCCCCCACTCTCTCCCCCACATCAGGGCCGGAGAGTGAGGGCCCCTGCCCCCCACCTTGGGTGGAGGAGGGCCCTGTAAGGCACCTGTGGGGGTGAGGGGAGAGGGACGGGAGCTGGTATCGTCCTGGATGCGATGCAAGGACGGGCTTCAATTGGCAGGATGTTATGGGATGGAACCAGTTGAGCATGTCACAGGCAGGGACAGGATTGGGCCATCCCTGAGGAGGGGGCTAGAGGGATCAGTTGTCAGGATTTAGTAAAAACCCTAGCCCCAGTAGTGTAAAGAACGTAAATTTAAGGCCACAGGCCAATCCTGGGCACAGGAGGGCTTGGCCACGCCCCGAAGAGGCTGGAGCCAACCAAGTAGAACTCAGGTGGTGAGTCTTGGGACATTTTGTCAAGACCCACCAGACTGAGTAGAGGGCCACCACCCAATCCTGGGGCCCGACTGTGCTTTCAAGGATGGAGCCAACGCCGTGCGAGCAAAGCCCTTGTCACTCGGCAGAAAACGATGAAATCAACCCATTTAGGGCTTAGAACTAGCCACGCCCATCCGGGAGCTAGCTAATCCCTTAACAGAAAGGATCTGTCGTTGGGCAGAATGAGTCAACGGACCCTACTGGGAACCTGCTTAAGTCCCGCTCCGAGGCGCGGACTCGGGTGGTGGGCTGGAAGGGCGGCGGCGATTGGCTGGGACTGGGGCTTAGGCCGGTCCCGGATCTGACTCGGATTGGCGGGCCCCGGGGGCGGGGCGGGGGTGTAGTGTGGGACAGGGCGGATGCCAGGCCAGGAGGTTCCCTCCCTGGGCCTCAATATTTCCGCTTCAGCTTCTGGAAGTCGCTGGTGTTGAGCCGCGGTCGCGGCAGGTCCCCGAAGACCTGGGTGTCCTCAGCCTCCCGCAGCACCAGGGCGCGCATGCTCGCCGCGATGCGGTCCAGGTCCGGCGAGGAAGGCTGCGGAGACAGTGGAACGGACAGGGTCAGCGCCCGCAGTGGCCCCAACCCCGGAGTTCAGCGCCAGCACCCTGGGCTCCAGGTCCCCTCCCAGCACTTTTGCTCCTGTGATGCCCACGGCCAGAAGGCCCTTCACAACTTCACCCTGTCTTGCTCTATATAGGGCCCTCCTTCCCGACTCAAGCATCACCACCTCCAAGGAGCCTTCCTGCCCTTCCAGTTTCTCACAGTGGAAGTTCTGCCTGTCTGCTGGCCATCAGGTTGTGTGCACCCAGGTCTCACGTTTAAGGATTTGGGTTTGGAATTCAGTCATGTGCCAATTAGGCCTGCCATCCACTAGCCGTCTACAGGATTTCACCCCTGTCGAAGGATTCAGTCTGCCCCTCTGAAAAGCGTCTAAGAAAAACAGCACAGTGACTGCTCAGGAAAGGTGAACTATCGTGTTGCCAGTGCTGTATAGAAAGGACCCCTCTCTGTGTTGGCCTCCACTTGGGTGGGGTCCTGTAATTGTGCCTGCAGCCTCAGCACTTAGGGCTACCTCCCATATAGAGCCTGTCACCCTGAGCTGTGCCTGGCCCCCAGCAGAATGGGAGAGGCCACCGACAGAAGGTGGACCTGAGCCCCGTTCAGGGACCAGCCCAGGACCCAGCACTAAAGCCTCAAATGCTCAGTTAATTAACTGTTTCCACCAGTGGCAAACAGAAACAGCAGCAGCTGTTGGACCCTGCCAGTGTGTAAATGAAGACACTGAGAGGAGTCATAGTAAAGGAGAACCAGGGGATCCAAGGCTTCCTCCCATGCAGCCCATAGCGCCTTTCCAAAAAGCAGCTAGGTTCTTGGGGAAGTTACATGTACTCTCAGTGCCTCAGTTTCCCTTCTGCTTCAGGGAGCTTCAGTGTTGGGCAACGAGGGCCAACCCCAGGCCAGCCTCAGAACTCCACATGTGGGATCATGTTGGAGTAACAGAGGACAAGAAGGGATGGGACAAAACCCAGGTAGGCCAGGAATATTCGGGGTGGGGATAAAAGGTGATCGGACCTCTTTGAGTCTGTTCCCCCTTCTAGAGGGGACACCAAAATCCTTGTGCCTTGCCCGCAGCATGTATTCTGTAAATGGAGCTGTTCCTGGAAAAGAGAGAAGGCTTTCTCTACAAGGCACTGGGACCCAGCATAAGGCTGCAAGAGTTAGCATTGCACGTCTCTGACCCAAGAACCTGCCTCGTGAGGTAGGGGGAAGGATTAATCCTGTGAAATGTGGCATCCATGCCTGAGGGCTTCCTGGAGGAGGTGGTTCTGAGCCCTTCCTGCCACCCTCCTCCCCTCTGCCCCTCACCGGCCCGTTCTCCTCATCCGACGACCGTGCTTCTGTCCTCTTCTCCTTGAAGGGCCAGATGGGCACGGACACAGGCAGGGACTTGGCGTATTGCTGTGTGGGCAGCGCTGAGACCGGGGGCACTGAATAGGCTGGGGGGCCAGCGGGGGTCTCCTCGCTCAGGCTGCCATCTACAAGACAGAGTAGACTTCAGCCTGTCTCTGCCTCCATCCCAGCCACCATCTCCCAACCCGGGGCCGTAGGGAGAGCCTGGGACACTCACCGTCTGTGCTCTCAGGGTCCGACTCACAGAAGGGGGGCAGGTCCTGAAGCGTGGCATCCTCATCCATCACAAAGAGCCCTGTGGGTGGCATTTGAGGCCCAGGCCAGTCAGGTCACCTCCACTCCACACACCCTGGCCTCCAGCCACCGCCTCCCGACTCCTGGCATTGGCCAGGCCCTTGCAAGCCTCAGGGCTTACAGAACTATTATTCCCACTGTTCTGGTTATCTGTCTGGTCATTGGCAGAAACAAATCCAGATTCTGTCTGTTACACCCTCAGGTGAAAGCAACTAGCTGAACAGGAAATCTGTAAGATCTGTTTGAGATGAAATGACCCAAAATACAGGCTGAGAGAAATACAAGATGATTATGATCCCTGTTTGACAAACAAGGACTTGAAGGCCCAGAGGTTAAGCTACTTGCCCAAAGTTTCTCAGCTAGTAAGTGGTATCACGGGGGTTTGAAACTAGGACTCCTGGCTCGGGAGTCTGTGCCCTTAACCCTATGCAGGTTTTCTCTAGCAACAGGGAGGAAGCCAGCCATTGGCAGTAACAATAACAAACAAGTAACTCCTATTCATTGAGACCCCCTGCACACTCCTACTCACTCTTCAAAGCCCTAATGTTACAGTCTTGTCTCTAGGGAGCATCCAACCTCCAGATTCCTTCCCAAAACTGCCATTTGCTTCCTTCTGACTTCAGCTGTTGCTTGCACCCCTTTAATTCCTCTTTGTTCTCACAGGCATTAAGTACTCAAGTTTGGAAACAACTCTTATTCTGCTCATGCTCCAGCTTAGGACACCCCCTCCCAGCCCCACAGCCTTCACAGGGCACTGTCTCATGTCAGGACTCCAGTTCCTTTGCTCAACAGGGAGTCCCTTGAGAAAAGGGCCCGAGTTGGCTTTGGCCCAGCACCTTTCAGCAGAGCTGACCCCGGGACACAGAGTAAGGAAACTGAGGCTCAGAGAAGGAAAATGACTTGTTCAAGATCATACAGGCAAGGCAGATCTTTTGAGACTCCAGCTTCCACCAAACCTCAGGGCTCAGACAAGCAAGTCGCACCCCTTCAGGATGCCAAGCTGAGAGCCACCCCAGTCCCTGCCCTCTGCACCTCTTACCTCCATTATCACTGACGCCCAGCCGCTCCCCAGAGGTCTCTGTCTCTGTCAGCTCATCTTCGTCTTCCTCATCTTCCTCTCTGGCCAGGGCAGGCCTGGGTGGGCTCCGTGCGGGGCTGGATGGCTGTGGTACTGGTGGGGGCACGGGGGGCCGGGCAGTGGCGGCAGCCCTGTGGGCCTGGGCGATGTCCTGGAGGCAGTGGCGGGCAGCCTCGGCTAGGGCTCCACGGCCATGGGCTGCATAGGCGCAGGGGCCTGGGCGGGGTGGCGGAGGTGGCGCAGCGGTCAGCAGCACCAGCTCCGTGCCTGTCCGGGCCCGGAAGCGCTCGGCAGCCCCCACCACAGCCTCCCACAGCTCTTCGGGGCGCCCCGACGCCATCCAAGCCCTGCAGGGCAGAGCAGGACAGAGGGGGCTGAGGCCGGGCTGACTGTGCCATCCCTATCCAGCCCCATGTGTCCACCTGTCCCTGGATGCCCCTCCTATCCCTCCCATTGACCTGTCCCAGTCGAGCGCAGCGTCTTTCCCACTACTCCTGAGAATTCATCCCCATCCAGGCTCAACCAGCCAGCACTGGCCTCTCCTCTTGGCCCTGCCCTGTCCAATATGGGAGCCACCAGCCACAGATGACAAGGAGCACTTAAGATGCAGCGGGTCCAAATGGCGATGTGCTGTGCGTGTGAAACCCACCTGGGTTTTGAAGACTGAGTACAAAAAAGTAGGATGTAAAATATCTCATGAGCAATCTGACGGTTGATTACATGCTGGAATGATGACATTTTAGACACACTGGCTAAATAAAATATATAGTGAAAATGAACTTCAATGTGTTTTCTTTTTACTTTTTAATTATGGCCTATGGAAAATTTGAAGTTACATGCCTGGCTTGTATTATATTTGTTGGTCATTGCTGTCCTGCCCATCATCCCAGCCTCGCCTGGCACCTCCCAGCTTCCAGTGAGACCAGCACACAGCACCATGGAGGTCCTTCTATACCTGGAGATGAACCTGCTCCTCCCCAGCATCCCCAGGACAAGGTCACAGCCCCTCAGCCTGGAGCACTGGAGGGCCTACCGGTCCGGCCCCACTCCCGGCCTTACAGCCTTCCAGACTTCTGAGGACAGAGGCCTTTAGTCAAGGCGCCCCCATCCCATACCTGCACCACTCATCCTCTATTTACCTGTCAGTCTTTCCCTCACTCCTATAGGGTCAGCCCTTCCTTGCCTCATGGACTCCAACATCTGAGCGACCCCCATTCTTGGACATATGTCTCCGGGGAGTACTTTCTGGATCCATCTCCCCAGCCAGTGTAGGAGCCCCATGTTGGGGCCTGTTGGGTTCATCTCTGAGCCAGTAGCCTTGTGCAGCACATGGCAGGCCTCAGAGCGGGGCCGAATGAAAAATGGTGTGCAAGCTGTTGTCTGCGCCTGGACTCCACCCTCAAAGCTTTTGTCCTTCCTACAACACCGTTCCGGCAGTTCCTCTGGAAGACTTCCCTGATGTCCCAGGATGGAGACGCCTTCCCTAGACCCACAATGCCCTGGGCTACCTCCATTAGAGCTTGTGTCACTCGAGCTTGTAACAGTTGTACCTCTGCCTCCTCTATCCTACTGTGAGCAAACCAAGATGAGGGATCTGTGTCCCCAGGACAGGTCTGCTGTAAGCGGACAATCTGCTGGACAAATCTCCTTATGAGGTGAGAAGAGCAAAGGGCACATGGGCTAGCTTCCTGCCCTTCTGTGTGACCTGGCACCCTCACTGGCCTTCTCTGTGCCTTTCCTCCCCCTACAAACCAGTGGTTGAGCCAGGGCTGCTGGGCAACTAAGGAGCCTCCTCGGGGAAGAAGTGAGCACCCCGTCACTGGAGGGATTCAAGCTGGGTTGTGATCCAGCTCACCACGGTAACAGTAATTTGATTTCAATTCACTTTTGTGGCTTACAATCATAGAAGCCAGTGTTTGCTGAGTGCCTACTCTGTGCAGAGACTCATCTCACCTCCTACCTGACCCACCAAAGTGAGAGCTGTTACCTCACAAATAAGGCAACCAGAGCACGAGCCCTTGCCAGAAGCCAAACGCAATGACAACACAATCAGCACCTTTTCGGACAAACCCCACAGCAAGTTCATTCCGTCCTTCCCACATGCCAGCCAGGGACCTGAGTGTGTCAACGTTCTCATCCCACTCTCATCAGCCCTATGAGGGAGGAGCTATTATTGCCCCACTTCACAGTTGTAACTGAGACCCAGGGAGAGTCAAGATCTTGACCAGGGTCAGACAGCTGGAGTGGAGAGCTGGGGACCTGGATCTGGCAGTCTGCAGCCAGAGCCTGTTCTGAATCCCGAGCCTGTTCTGAATCCCGAATGTCTTCCTGCCTGCTTTGTGAGGAAAGATTTACGATCTCCTAGTCTGGAGAGGGAAAGTGAGGCTGAAAAGAGCTTCAGGCACTGGCCCAAAGACACACAGCTAGGAAGGGCAGAAGTGGGGCTGAAATTGCTGTCAGCTGGACTCTAAAACCTAACAACTGGGAGGTGCTCAAGGTCTCACAGCTCCTTGGGTAATCCCCATCTTATGAGGAAGGACGCTGAAGCTCAAAGCAAGGAAAAAACTGGCCCAAGGTCACACAGCCTGGCAGTGCTAGGCCTGGGGTTCTCACTTCTTTGGGACACCAGGATCAAACTCTCTGTCCTAGATCTTAGAGTAGCCAGAGGGCTGCGAAGAGTGAAATGAGGGTGAGTTGGGAGTGAGGGTCTAGAGCAGCGGTTCTCAACCTTTCACAGAGGTTGCCTAAGACCATCAGAAAACAAAAAGATATTTACATTACGATTTATAACAGTAGCAAAATTACAGTTCTAGAGTAGCAACGAAAATAATTTTATGGTTGGGGTCACCACAACATGAGGAACTGTATTTAAGGGATCATGGCATTAGGAAGGTTGAGAACCGCTGATCTAGAGCATGGGCAAAAAGGAGGAGGGCCACTCACACAGACTCTCTGCCATAGCCTGGGGGCTCTCTGGAGTCAGTTACCCAAGAGGAGAGTAACCAAGATCTGGGGAGTCTCCCTTCCCTTCAGCTTCTGTTGGAAGCCCTGTATCCTCCGAAGAACTGAGAAATGGAGGACCCCCTCCCCCAAATGGAGGAGTTTGAGATGAAGAAGAGAGGAAAAGGAGGTGAGTCCTGTCCCCCACAGGAGGAGTAAACAGAGGTAAGATGAGTGGCCTCTTAGGAGGAGGTGAAGAGGTGAAGTGAGAAAACTGACTCCAGAAAGAGGTGAGGAAAGGACAAGTCCCCTAAGGAACGAGGTAGCTAGTGAAACTCCCCTCCAACCACCTGTCAAGCTGCAAGTGCCCCCGCTCGAAAGTGAGGTGAACTGGAGAATGCATCCCACAGCCGGGGGTGAACGCCTGAAGTCTCTCTCCACCTCTCAGAGTCCTCCCTCACCTCGCCCGGGTAGCAGCAAAGACCCTCTTCTCTAGAAAGAAAACAGGAAATCCTGCCCAGGTGGGAAGCAGAACCGGAAGTCCCGCCTTTGGACGGGTGAGGGGCGCCCCAAGGCCCCCCCAAGCAACCCTCCGACCCAATGGACACGGTCCACAGTCAAGGTAAGGATCCTAATGGGTCTGGAGACCCGAAGGTAAGGCTGTCTAGGTTTTGCCTCGGGTCAGACACAACGGTTCCCTCCAGCTACCCCTTTCCAGCGCTCAGCGTATGGTCGCTGGGCGATCTCTTCCCTTTCATTTACGCAGGCCATACCCCTCCCGCTAGCGGTTCGCCCTCCCAGCGCCCCTCTCCTCCGGACCGCCAAGTCCTCCCCACACCGCGGTTCACAACGCCGCCTCCACTCACGTGCCCGTAGCCAGCATGGCCGACCCGGCGCCGTCGCCGCCCTCAAAAGACATGGCGGCGAGTTGCGTCACTTCCCCGCAGTTGGCCCGCCTCCACTCTGCATACTCCGCCTCTCTTTATCGGGCAGCCCGAAACCAAGATGGCGACTACAAGGGTTTCAATGGATAAGTGAAGCAATGGTGACAGCAGGGTGCCCATAAGAAAGATGGGGAAATGCTTCAGTTTGTTCCGAAACAAACCTAGACCATTTCGATTTAATCCCAAGAAACATGGCTGCCTTACACATACACATTCAGGACCACAATAAACTAAGGCAAGCGACCTGACGTCCCTCATTTATAAAATATCGACCTGTCCCACATACGTGAAGAAAAGCAGTGCCCGTTAATGACATGGCAGCCAGCCTGGCATCATTTGCCCATAATGTATACAGACACTCCAGCCTATCCCCTTTCAGCACCAAGACTGGCAAAGATCCAACATGGCAACCTTTCTTGCTTCGGGTTGCCCAACTTCAATATGGCGTCCCAGACCGCTTTCACTCGACTGTGACTCGTGAATTCGTCTGGGACCTCTTCGTTCCGGGGATACTGACGGCTTCATCCCGTTAACCCGAGTTCCTCAGCACCTCTTTTGCCGAACACAGATTTTCCTTTCTCCGTTTCTCTTTTCCAGGACCTTGCAGTCAAGCCCCGCAGAGGGATGGGACTCCCCCGCGTTAACATGGCCGCAGGCGGCCCGCTTTAGCAGTGCCCTCAAGCAAAATGGCATCGATTGGGCTTCGATGCCAGTATACAATATGGAGAAAGTAGTAGGCATTCCGAAGCGTTTGGATGAGTGGGTGGAGCTCTTGGACCAGCGGGGGGAGCTCTTGGACCAGCGGGTGGAGCTCTTGGAGCCTCCACCTTGTTTACTTCTTGGAAACGACCGTATCACTGCGCTTGCGCACCCTCTCTGGTCTCCTCCACCTTTGAGTCTGCGCTGTGTAGACTTAAACCCTCGTGGTTCAACTTGGGCCACCCCATTCTGAAAGATGGTCACACCCACTCCTGTTCTAGAACAGGCAAGGGCGCTACCACTGTCTGGATTTGAGGGGAGTCTCTTATCCGGATATGACAACATGTTGACCCGGAAAAGGAGGGAGACGGGGCAGTGGGTCCTGAGACGCGGCTATGGAGGGAGCCGGTTACAGGGTGAGTACTGAGTACGCACTCTTTCGCTTCTATCAATGTGGGACGCCCCCGCGACCGTGGTCTGCTTTTCCCTCAGGCTGTGCCGGAGCTCTCGGAGCCAGGCCGATCCTTAGCAAACACAGCATTCCCTGATAACGCCCTGTCACCCTTGTTTTCAGTGCCCTAAGGAAGATCCATATGTTTTGGCCCCGCCCCCTGAGCAGCTGAGATACTCTTCTGGGCCCCGCCCCTTTTGGAACACCATTCCCCACATCTCTCCTCTCTCCTTCCATCCCCCAGTATCCCAACGCCTGGCTGGTATTCCCGGGCCTCGCCCCCTGGGGAATAGCTCCTCCCTGGGTCCGCTCCCATTGGCTCCCTCCTGGGCCCCGCCCCCTTTGGTGTCTTTCTATGCTGGGGCCCCGCCCTTCACGTTCCTATCCCCAGGTGGTGTTTGAGAAGGGAAGCGTGTACCTGCACACCAGTGCCAAGAAGCACCAAGATCCGGACTCCCTCATCGCCGGTGTTATCCGTGTTGTGGAGAAGGTGGGCTGGGATGGAACAGGGCACGGGCAAGCCCAGAGCAGGATGGAGGTGGCATCTTTAGGAGTATGGTCTGGTTGTTTGCTATGGGACCTTAGGAAGACTGAGACTGGAGAGAGAAGCAGAGCTTTGTCAGGCTGAGGATTCAAAATTGGGAAGAAGTTGGGTAATATGGTTTGGGGAGTTAAGACGGGAGCCCTTCTAACTCCTTCCTCCTTCCTTCAGGATAATGATGTTCTCCTACACTGGGCTCCTGTAGAAGAGGCCGGAGATTCCACCCAAATCTTCTTCTCCAAAAAGGTAGGTTTCCCTTGCTCCCGCCTTCTCCACTTGGTTTTTTTCTAGGTCCAGGCAATGGAAGGCATTTGAAAGAGCTGGGTACAATCCCAGACCTACCCGTTGGGGCACGTGTGACCGTCGTTGGTTTCCTCCACTCTGTGAAATGAGACCAAAGATGCCCATTCACAGAAAGAAAGCAGACACTCTGAGGTTCACGGCCATGGGGACAGCTACCTCCTTTGTTTCTTGAGAGCGCCTTGCCAGGACACAGGAAGACAACTAAGCCTGTGGATTTGGGTTCCGTGTCCTGTTAGCCCATAAGAACTTGAAGAGGTGTGGCATCTCTTCTGGGGCAATCCTGCCATCATGTCCAGAAAGAGAGTAGGACCTGACGAGGCGACTCACTGTTTCGACAGTACTTCTTCCTCCCCGGGTACAAGACGTTGCCCTTCTCATTACCAGCTGGCTCCTGAGGTTTCTTGCAATTGCCAGGCCCTGTGCTGGACGGTGCTGGCACCCAGATATGAGTCCAACCTAGACCCTGCCGAAGCTTTCACACCCATTCTATTTTTGAGAAACTGAGGCACAATGAGAGGAAGCCCTTTTTCTAAGGTCAGAGAAGGTAGGAGGTGTTGGAACTTGGGTTTGAATCCAGATACTCTGATTCTAGAGCCCCCACCTCTTCCTGGGGAAACAGACATTTGGGCTGGGACTCTAAAGATGAGAAGGGGGTGGAGACTAATTCAGGGATGGCAGGAGGAAGTGTATTACAGAGCACAGGAAGTGGGATATCTCTGGATATCCCACAGGAAGAGGGGTTTGCTGCAAAGGTGGTTGGTCCTAAAATACCAGACTCAGAAGCTTGGATCCTGTCCCAGGGGCCCTGGGGAACTATGGGAGGAGAAAGGTGTGAGTGCAGAAAGCCCTCTGGGAGGGTGGCATGTAGGAGATGGACCAAAGGACCAAATGAAGGGAGATTGGAGGCGAGAAGGCCAGGAAGGAGGCTGATGTGATGGGTCAGGGAGAGCGGATGAAGCTTCATTGGGGGTTGTGGGGTTTCATATGACCTAGTGGGGTACAAATGGAGATTCCAGAATGCCCCACCCCCACCCCAGGGAGTTGGGGCAGAAGCAACCAGGATTTTACATTTTTCACCAACCTGGGAGGCAGCCTGAGTGCCTTTCTTGAAAATATTGCTGTCCTCCTTGGCACTCCTATGTTTGAGTAACAGAAATCCACTGAGATGGGCTTCAGAACGCACACGTGCATTCATGATACATTCAGCTCCAAGGACCACAAAACTGGACCGATGACAAGTTAGGCAAACAAGCTTGTTTCTCTCATCTCACAAGACCCCAAGAAGTAATGGGGCTGCTGGCCTTGATTGGGGATGTCAGGGCCTAGACACTGAGGTTCTCCTGTGATTGCCCTAATAGCTTTTAAATAACTGCTTCAGTTCCAGCCACTGCATCTACCTTTTAAGGCAGGAAGAACGGGACAAGCAGGGTGCCAATCACATCTGTCCTCATCAGAAAAAACGAAAGATTTCTCAAATCCGCATCAGTTAGGAGTAAATTTGGTTGTGTGTAACAGAAATAGCAATAACAGTGGCTTATGCAAGATAGAAGCTCATTTCTCTCCAATGGAAAAGCCCAGAAGTCAGTAGTATAGGTTCATGTGTCATCAATGACCCAGCTTCCTTCCATCTTTGCTCTGCCATCCTCTGCATGTCATATCCATCCTCAACATGTGTTCATCCTCAAGGCAGTCTCATGGTCCAAAAGGGCTGCTGGAGCTCCAGCCTTTTTGACTGTTTCTGTTCACTCTACTTAGTGTTGCAGGTTGGCTCATTAGCTCTGTTCATTATGATTACTCAAGGAAGCATGCTGTTAAGAGCAGCCACCATCTTAAAAGTCAGTGTTCCTTGGGCAGAAGGAAAGAGAGCTCTAGAAGTCTTCCCCTGGCGATTAAACAGTTCATCCTAGAAGTGATTTATGCCAACCCCTTGGCCAGAACTAGTTGCACAACTCCACCCAGCAAATAGAGTTTAATGAGCTGTGACCCTGCTATGTGCCTGAGAGGCAAAGAGCTGCACATATTTGTCGGATAGCACTGATGTTAACATCAACAAAACCATCTAGTTCTTCACGTCACAAAACATGAAGGGCAGAAATGGTTTGGCAGCCTTGTGGACAAGTGCGCCTGCCAGTCCTTGGCCCTCATGGCCCTAGTTTACTGCCACAGCTCCACATATCAGTCTCTCTCGACAGCACCCAGAGGCTAGCCTGAACCTATGGGAGTGTGTTCAGTCCTGTAGGTGCCTTTTTATCAGGAATTGCCCTTCCTCAAACTCCCCCACATATGTCCTCTCAGCTCCCACTGGCCAGAGTTGGGTCCGTAAGCCACTCAAAACTGCAGGGAAGGCTCAGAAAGCAAAATACAATAGGGAGAGTTCAGCTTGTGTGGTGGGAAGGGCTCTGGAAGCAGCAGCAGAAATGGCTGTTGGGTAGACCCACAGTCTGGGTCTTCCTGGCTTCATTGCCCTAATCATGCAGGGTTTGTTGCAGGAGTCACAAAACACGCTGGTAATTTTAAGCAGCAAGGGATTAAATGCAAAAAAGTGGAGCCCTGCTGGATTTTTTTTTAACCAGAGCTGGAGGAACAGGACTGACACTCCAGAACTGACCTTCCAGGGGAGGGAGCTGCCACCACTGCCAAAATGAGGGCTGTGGCTCGTGGGACTGTCATTGGAGCTGTGGAGTTCAAGAACACTACCATCAGTGCCGTTACTCAGCCCCACAAAGCTAGTGGCTGGGACCTGGAAGACTGAACTGTCCCTCTCACTGCCCTTCTCCATGTGCAGGAAGATGGAGATGGAGATGAATCTCTGGCTCATCAGCCAAACACGGCCAAAGTGGCAGGAAGTTGCCATCTTCTAATGTCCGCTTTCCAGATCTGAGTGCAACTGATTGGTAGGCTGTCTTGTGCCGGGCGCTCTAGCTGCAAGGGAGCCTGGGAAATGTAGTTTTCAGCTTTCCAGCCTTTGCCATACAGGAAGGCACACCTGCTGTGAATGGACTCAGTTGCTGTAGTCCTCACACACTTTGTTCCCTCCCTGCCTTCCCCTATGGCCCGTGGCCAGCACCATCAGTTTTTATTGTTTTTTTAAAAGATTTTATTGGGGGAGGGAACAGACAAGTTGGTGTCCTTTAGTTCTTCAGTCTAGTTGTGGAGGACGTCGCTTCACTGGCCCATGTTGGTATTACCATTGCTTTCTTCCAGGGTGAGGCAGTTGCTCGCGGGCCATAGGACGGCGGCTCACAGCAGCCCAGCTCCAGGTCAAGCTGTTGTTCACCATCCTAGCTGTGGAGGACGCAGTGTCACTGGCCTTTCATGTGGCATCGGAACCAGGGCCCTGCTGCTCAGAGCTGGCATCCCAAGCCAACTCTTAACCAGCGCAGCAGTTGGCCGGCCCATGCACCATCAGTTTTTACTGCACTCTGACCCTCAGCATGGCTTCCCCTGCACGATTTCTTGAGCTTGGTACAGTTAGAGCAGCCACTGCTGGTGCCATGCTGAGCACTTAATGTTATTTTCATAACAACCTGTGAGCCAGCCCCTTTGTTTTTTCTTACTGTGATAGAATACACTTACCATAAAAAAACCCTCAATTTTATGGTAAAATTTAAGATTTTCAAAGTGCATGATTCAGTGCTTTTCAGTATTCACAAGATTTTGCAGCCATTACCAGTGTTCAATTCTAGAACATTTCATTATCCCCTAAAAGAAACCCTGTACCTGTTAGTAGTTGCTTCTCATTCTCCCTTCCCCCAGCTCCTGGCAACCACTAATCTCCTTTCTGTCTCTGTAGGTTTGCCTAGTCTGGATATTGCATATATATGGAATCATACAATTTGTGGTCCTTTTGTAACTGGCTTCTTTTACTTAGGATGCTTTCAAGGTTCATTCTTTTTTTTTTTTTTTTAAGATTTTATTGGGGAATTGGGGGAAGGGGAACAGACAAGTTGCTGTCCTTTTGTTCTTCAGTCTAGTTGTGGAGGACGTTGCTTCACTGG